AGACAAAAGGCTATCCCGCATGGATTTTTTGAACAAGGAGGAGAAGAAGGGACTGGAAGGAGACAAAGAAGAAAAATAGGAAGAAGAAAAATAGGAAGAAGAAGAAGAAGAAGAAGAAGAAGAAGAAGAAGAAGAAGAAGAAGAAGAAGAAGAAGAAGAAGAAGAAGAAGAAGAAGAAGAAGAAGAAGAAGAAGAAGAAGAAGAAGAAGAAGAAGAAGAAGAAGAAGAAGAAGAAGAAGAAGAATATAATCGGTAGTGCTCGCTTAACCTACATAATGGTTCTTGTTCAATCTCAAAAAATGGAAACATTGTTTTCAGCCAGTATGGGTTAGTGTTTGAGTGACGGAGACTCATACAATAATATTGAGTGCCAGAATATGTCGTAAATGATTATTGAATTGTTTTGGAGAGAAAAACGGCAATGAAAGGAGCTTAATTTCCATCTCACCAAGCGTGGTCCAAAATATGTGAGAGTTTGATACCTCACATTTAAACTGCAGTTTCTGCTGTGAGACAGTCTCACCTTGTCTCGTTACAATCGATGCCAAGTCTGGGTAGATGTTTATGTGTTTAAAAAAAATGTGAGACGAACTTCCGCTAAGCCAAATAAAAAGACACATTACAGAAATAACATGCACGTTTGGCAACGACATAACAAACAAGATATCCACAAAAATCCACCTAACAATGTAACTATATAGCTTTTGGCATTTCTGAAACTTCATAATGAGCCAAAATTCTCTTGTTCACTTTCCTATTATTTTTGTTTGTTTTATTTTCTTCAAGAGATGCTTCTTTCTATACATCAGTCAGGACCGGTTGTACCAGTTTAGTCTAAATCTTTCTTCTTCTTCTTCTTTTCACCTTTTACCTCATCGAAGTGTCGGGGGGAGATGTTCGTTGATGAGCTCTGTCAAGAGCACTATCAAGACTGATGTTCATTTCTGTAAGGCTGTTCTTACTGCCATCACTCCATCTTTTCCGAGGTCTTCCACTCGATCTGTACCCGTTGTAACGTTTTAGTGTGGCTCGCTGTGGCGGATAGTACCAGGGCATTCTTGTTAGGTGTCCAAACCCATTCATTTGTTGTTCTTTGATGACCTGTGGGACTGGCCTAATTCCTAGCATTCGTCTGATTTAATGATTTCGTATTCTGTCTTTCCTTGAAACTCCTGCCGCTCTTCTAAGGCATTTCATCTCTGTTGTCACAATTTTACGTTCATTGGAGGATGTAAGTGTCCACGTTTGGCATTGATAGCATGGTGTTGGCTAAAAAATAGTTCTGATAAGATTCACGTTAGTACTCTGAGGTATCTGCTTGTATGTTAGCAGGGGAGATAGTTGACCAATTACTTGATTAGCTTTGGCACATTTGGAGCTAATTTCTCTGTCCAGTTTTCCGTCAGATATAAAAATTGCTCCCAAATACTTCCCCAGGGTGTTGTTTTTTAATTTAATTTCTAAATTGCCTTTATGTCTTCCTATAATCACTGTCTCTGTTTTCGTAGTATTTATTTTCATATTATATTTCTCCCCTTTGTTACTAATTGGATTTAGGTGGTTCTGTAGGCATTCCGTATTTTCTGCTATGAGTACCTGGTCGTCGGCGACAAGTAATTCTGTAATATCTTCTTCATGATTAAAGTTCGTTTCACTTCATATGGTATCTATGTATGTTATAAAAAGAAGCGGCGATAGTACACAGCCCTGACGCACACCAGAGTTCACTATAAAAGTTCTTGACAACCCTGCCTTCGATCTTATGCATCATTTACTACGTGTGTACAGGCTTTTGCAAATATTAATGAGATGATTGCTGATTTCTTTTTTTCCATCCATTCCCACAACATATTTCTGTCGACTCTATCGAAGGCTTTTTCTTGGTCTATGAATGTAAACAAACATGTCTTATCATGTTCTATTGCCCTCTCTGATAGTTGTCTCAATGCATACATGACATCTGTGCAACTTCTGTTTCGTCGAAAGCCCATCTGTGCTTCTGAAAGTTGATACTCTAGCAATGGTCTCAGCCTTTTTTCGATGATCTTAGCATACATTTTTCCAGTGTGACTGAGAAGTGATATTCCTCTGTAATTAGTACATTCCCTCTTACATCTTTTTTTTCCACAGCGGGACAATGACAGCAGTCTGCCAATCTGATGGTGTTTCTTGATTTTGCCATGCCACCTGAAATATGTTTAGTCTAAATAACTGCTTCATTAAACAGTATGTACTGTGATTGAGAAATACCATTGCTAAAGTCAAGGACCCTTTTCCACGTCTTCAGGCGAATTGTGACTATAGGGCTAAACCTACATTTTACAGAGCAATTGGCACACAGTGCTGATGTTGTGAACATTACTCCGGTCGCCTTTACTTTACCTGATACAAATTTAAGGCTGGGTCACGCTGGAAGCCAAAGTCATTTTTGAAAAATGTTAACGGTATTTATTTTTTCAAAATTTCAAACACATCATAGAAAGAAACATTTTAAGAGACCGCATTAATTTTCTGACCTCAGTGATAGGTAGGTCACATAAACAAGATGTGTCTGTCTGTTTACAAGCGGGTTTTACGAGGCCATGGGATCGATAGGCAATCGAGCAGTCTTCTTTGTATTCTTCCTTAACCTCTTTTGGTTACTTATTTAAATCTTCGGATATCGAAAGTGACAGGGTGTTCAGTTCTCTTTCTGCTGGCCGATTGGTCCACCGACCAAATTTGGGGTAAGTAATTAATAAAGCACCAGGTTATCGTTCTACGTGATTCAGTATTGTTTCTGTGCCAACTCATCCTCTTATTACCTCATTCTTAATGTTACCTTTTCCGGTCACTCCTACAGACTTTGTCTGATAGCTCACTGCATACAGAGTTAGTAACTATCTTTATTACTTTGGCCTGGGTGATTTATTACAGATTAGCAGTCAAACGTGGCACCATGGTTGATAAAAGTATTCACCTTCTAGCCAAACTGCTGCAAGAATACTTACCACCCCCCACCCCTTCCAACCCCCCCCTCCCCCCCAACCCCTACCCCCCCCCCCCCCCCATCTCCTTGTCCAAGTTGCATAAAATAAAGACATGCATGAAACTAATCGAGTGCCGATCTACATATAAGTTCTCAACGTTATGAAATCCTGCTGTCTGAATTTGTTTGATCTTGTTAATGGACTAGATGCCGACAAAATAACAAACATGGCATGTGCTGAACAAGCCACACATGTCGGCCAGGTTGTCTGCGAAGTAGATCAAAGCACAGTGTATGGTGGAACTGAAGCTAATAGAACACAGTGCCAATGACTGTTCTCTCCCCTCTCTGGGTTTTTTACACATGTAATGAGCAATGTTAGGAAAACTGGCAATTTTGATCCATTTTATAATTAGTGGAAATCTGACTCCATAGTGCGGACATAAGGATTATACTCCCCATCTCAGTGCCAAGGGATTGAAACTGCTAATCCTGTCTCTCGGAAGACGAAGAGGAGATTAATACATTCTTCTCTACGTGAACAATATCAGCTTTACAAACTGTCAGTCAAATATTACGGACAAAAAATAACTTATTGAAAAAGTAAAAACTACGAAAACATGGACTCCATCAACATAAACAATGGGGACTGTTAAAAAAAAGTCACAAGGAGACCAGAGATAACATTGTATAAACTAAACGGGTTAAATCGTAAAGCGTATATATATCAACATCATAAAGTGCCTTGTCAACTGGCTTTGGCGATCATCAATCTATACAACCTGCAATCTTCATCAATCGTTTCCTTTGCTGACACCTCACCACGCCATGACATAAGACTCAAGCATCTATCTTATCAGGTTGTCTTTTGTGTTTTATGTTCTATGTCTTTTTCCATAGAACTTTCCCGTGGTAAACAGCCAGCCTCCCCTCCCCACACCTTTTCATTATGATTTTTGTAGAAAGTTGCCTTCCGGCCTTCGAATCTTTCAAAACATCTAGATTGCTTTTTTTTTCACATACAATAAATATTATGGATTCTTCTGTAAAACCACATTAAAGTGTTATGTAGCGTAAACAAATCAAAGCAAAGTTCTGAGAACATGTCTATTTGCTACAGCAACATATGGATCTCAATCGAGGCCTATGCTACAATCATCCAAGAAGAACAATGAGGCTTTCAAATTTTAATATAACAGAAAATGTTTGGGAATAGCCTGGATCCAGAAGAAAAGATTCTGGCTTGCTGCAAGATCTCAAGGTTGGCTGCAGTCTCCGATACTGAAGCCTGCTGGCCAAACAGACTGTTTTGTTAAGTTAAACACCACCGTGGTTTATAACAGAAAAGTGATGCAAGCAGGGTCGCAAAGAAAACATAGGGGCATTAGAGCCCATTACAAATTGTATAGGGGGTTAAAGAGACCTAATCCTTGTTTAAGCGTATAATTGTATACATGTGTATGTGCGAGAGAGAAAGGGGGAGACAGAGGGAGACAGACACACACACACACAGAGAGAGAGAGAGAGAGAGAGAGAGAGAGAGAGAGAGAGAGAGAGAGAGAGAGAGATGGTGGGGTAGGGAGAAGAGTGTAAAAGAAATGCTTTAAAAGATGCTAACTTCAAAACTGTGGATTTAAAAAAAAGGGGGTGGGTGTGCTAAATGGGTTTGAAACTCAAGGTTTCAGCGCCAATAAATGGAAGAAACTGTTTGGGGGCGGATGCGAGAGAGAAAGTGGCAGACAGAGGGAGACAGAGAGAGAGAGAGAGAGAGAGAGAGAGAGAGAGAGAGAGAGAGAGAGAGAACGAGAGAGAACGAGAGAGAGAGAGAAGAGTGTAAAAGCAAATGCTTTAAGAGATGCTAACTTTAAAACAGTCTTCGGATAAAAAGGGGGTGGGTGTGCTCAATGGGTTTGAAACTCAAGGTTTCAGCGCCTATAAACGGAAGGAACCGTTTGGGGGCGGATGCTGTAGAAGCCAACTTCGGGCGGATGCGGCTGAAGACGACATTGGGCGGATGAGGCAGAAGTTGACTTCATGTAGGTGGTACTGAAGACATCCTAGGCATGAAAATACAGACAGGTGTGGTACCAATGTTTCCAAAGGTACGTGGGCAGAGGATGTTCAAGAAAAGAGTCCGCTTTCCTGACGAACAATGACAGTTGACAGCATATATGGTCGTCAACAGTCTGGCATGGAAACAATAAGCTTGAATCAGGAAACTGTACCTGCTAGGATAGTTCGAACAAACAAGCTAACTGTGCAGCATATTGACCGACTGCTTGCACTATATAAATCCAGCTTTGGAAAAAGAATTTTGGGTCGCTGTGGTGTATCTGCTAGACGCTCGACTGCGGATCGGAAGGTCGTGAGTTCTAGTCCTAATAAAGCTGGATTTTTTTTTTCTTCAATAAAAATTACTTTGGCTCCGAAGCTGACCCAGCTTGTAGGGGGTACGGGGCATAGTCGTGTAAAGTAAAGGTGGTCGCTGCACTTTACCAGCCGACTGTCGATTGGTCTATAAATTATAGGTCTAGCCCTATATACCCAATACGCCTGAAGTCTCGGACAAGGGTCCATTATTTTATTTTTGGAGAAAGAATTACTGATTACCGATTTGAGAGTCGACATCACAGAATACCGGCCGCTCCCATAGATACTCAGTCTCTGACAGCAAATATCTTAAAGTATTGATACTAACTGTTCAGTGGTAACCTGGCTGTACACACGTCGCACCCTTCCAATTATACGTCCTTTCTTGCTCAATGATCACTTGTCTTGTCTTGTCTTGTCTTGTCTTGTCCACAATTGCCTCACAGCGTAGTGGGGAGTCGCAGTTTTCTATCCTGGGCCAGGTGTGTTGCACATGTTGTTGTTAGCCCGTTGTTGCCTCAGGATCTCTATGTATATATCTCTTTCTCTCTCTCTCTCTCTCTAACTCACACACACACACACACAAGGACATGTTTGTAGGTGGTGCTATTTATAACAATATGCTCACCACTGGTTACTGCAGCGTTAGGATGATCGTGGCAAAACTAACCTCAGCTTCAACACAAACACGTATAACAACTTTGTTATGGTTTGATCAGTCATATAAATTTATAAACAGTCCAATTCGTATAGGCGCGTGTAGAGATGACAAATGGGACTGGCGAACAGATGTGAATAAATAAAAACTTTGTGGCAAAAACTGATTGCATGCAGCTCCATTTTATTTGAAATAAACACTGTGCGCACAGATCTGTAGCCCTCTATTCTAGAAACCAAATGTCCATTTAGCTCTAATTTTGCTTCATAAAAAGAATCAGGTGAGTGGCGTATCCATGAAAACTGCACATTTTCTACAAGCTTGTCGTTGCTGATTTTCTATAAAAATGGCACCTTTCAGAACAAATGTTCTCTAGCACTTCTTGCCTACTTATCTCTTATTCGTCTCCCTCTCTCTCTCCCTCTCTCTCTCTCTTTCTCTCCCCCCCCCCTCCTCTCTCTCTCTCTCTCACTCACTATCTATCTATATGTCTCTCTCCATCTCCTCTCCTCCCTCTATCTATCTGTGCGTGTATGTATATATATTTATATATACGTACAGGAGTATGGGCGTATATAAACTGTAGCATTTATCATACCATTCGGTGTTAAGGCCAACAGATATTAGAATTGTGTTTTAAAAATTCAGGAATTTCGATTCAGAGTATAAATTTGAAGATGACTGCCATTACCGGCGCTACTCCAGAAAAGATCTGATGTGAAAGCAAGAAGTCGCCATACGCAATCGATCGCAAACAGTTCTTCCCAACGCTGCTAAATGGAGAAAGTGGAAACTAATGATGATGATGATTACCATAAACATGTTTTCTTAGTGTGCGCTATCCAGAGCCAGAGATTTTATTTCATTGTTGGTTGGAATCTGGTTCTCTTGATCTGCTACATTTTAGTGACTCTATCACATCATTTAAACCTGGGCATGTTCCACCCTACATTAACAACATGAAGGTCTTGTGGCATGACACTTATAACCCCAAGTTACCATTTTCAATTATAATGGTTTTTTTTTTTTTTTTAGTTTTACAATATGCAATGGAAAGTTTGAGAACAACTAAAATCATTTGAGGAAAGATAAAAGAAAGCGAAAAACAAATGACTCAAAATTGGCGAACATCGGGATACGCTGGGATAAATTCACGAAAGGTGAAAGAAAGAAAATGTCTGCACAGTCGCTGAGTTATAAGACTAATGAGAGATAGCTCTACATTCGGCACAATACGAAAAGAAGCAAGCAGAGAATCATCACACAAGCACTGGTGTGGGAAACACTATGGGTTGGGAAAACGTGGACGTCCAATAAGAACCTTTACCGGAACAAGAAATGGGAAAGGTCAGGGACTAGATTGCTTCCGTCATATCGAGAGGGAAGAATCGAATGGAAAGTCTGTGTGTAACGACGATAGACGTTCATAATCATGTACATCGTTACAGCTTACTGACTGTTGAAGTCTATCTTTGTGTTTCCTACACAAATGTGTTCCATGATCCTAAAAGTATGGTTGTTATTGGTACCTGTGAAGTACCGGGGGCCGGCGTGGAGATAAACAGATTGCCCACAGAGTCTTAGCTGGTCTTTAAAATATAGGTCTAGCCTTGTATGTACAGTACATATGAAGACCTGCAAGAAGCTTTGTTTATTTACTTACTTAAGGGTCAGGTCACTGGTGTCAACGACAACGACAAAAGAATGTAGGACCAGGAGGCGTAGGAGGAAGAAGGGTTGAATAAGGAGGAGGAGGAGATGAAGAAGACGACAAAGAAGAGCAACAACAACAACAAACCAACAAAGTCAGAAAAAGAATAAACCCGTTCTTTAAAAACTTATTTTTTGTTGCTGTTGTTGTTTTTCTTCTTCTTTTTCTTCTTCTTTTTCTTCTATTTCTTTTTTTTTTCCTTTTTCTTCTTTTTCTTCTTCTTCTTCTTCTGTTTCATCTTCTTCTTCTTCTTCTTTTTCTTCTTCTTCTTTTTCTTCTTCTTCTTCTTCTTCTTCTTCTTCTTCTTCTTCTTTTCCTTTTCTTCTTCTTCTTCTTCTTCTTCTTCTTCTTCTTCTTCTTCTTCTTCTTCTTCTTCTTCTTCTTCTTCTTCTTCTTCTTCTTCTTCTTCTTCTTCTTCTTCTTCTTCTTCTTCTTCTTCTTCTTCTTTTTCTTCAAGCACACTTGTAGGAAATGACATCTGGAATGTGTAGAAAACATATTCTATATTGAAATGACATCGAATCACATGTCCACACATGATAACATACATAGAACTTACCTGGGGAATGCTTGCAATGATGGATAACGACCAAGACACCATCAACATCATTCTTGCCCTGGCATCAGCGTCAGTAATGGACAATGGTCTCATGATGGCGAAGTAACGATCCAGACTGATGGACACAAGGATGAAGGAGGACAGGTAAAAACCTATTGCTCTGAAGAATGTCAAAAGTCTGCAGGCAATGTCGCCGGCCAACCAGGCAACGGTGGCGTTCCACGCTATCTCTAACGGCAGCATGACAAACGTTACAATAAGGTCAGCTATAGCCAGGTGCATGATAAACAAGTTGATTCTAGACTTAGTGCTTCTGTTTCGAAATAATGTAATAAAGACTGTTAGATTTCCACAGGCAGCTACGACGAAAAGACAGGAATAGGCTGCCACAGATACTATGTTGTCGTCACTAAAATAAAGATGTTTTGGAAGGGACGTAAGAGCTCCTGTAGCATTGTCACTGGTATTGTTAAGACAGGGACTTGCGCTGAAATTACTAGTGTTTTTATTAGCACCGGCACACATGTTGTTAACCCTTTCAACAAGCACAACTTTGAGTGTATAAGTTTTATCATTATACAGACTGCTAGTGTCTCTTTTCGATGCCCAAACTGTTTTTGGTGGCGATGTCCAGTCTGTGTTAATTTGTTCAGTAGCACATATTAGAGACCAGGTATTTGCCAATAGTAAAGCTACTATAAAAAACGTCCTGATGCTGTTTAATGTGTAAAGTCCAGCTGATGATGGTGATGATGACACGAGAACAACCATTGCTAATCAGTGTTTATTGTCTGCGGCGTTTATCAAGCACATGATTCTCTCTCAGCGTTCCACGGCCGAGCGGTGATTATCTTCCGATCACACATACCATATAAACCTATGATAACAAATAAAACAGCCCAATGAAACACAAGGTAAATTCAACATTTGAGCACAATTGTCAATTGATAATGCATTGTAGGTAAAGAAACCCATCACCAGGCCGTGAGTCGCACACAGTATAGGTTGCTAGTCTCATGGTTTATCGTTGCATGATATGATCAATTACAAGTTGCCTGTCTGTAGTTCACATGTTTCTTCCAGGAGCCCAATATGGGCTCAGCGCACCCGGGATCAGGTTCTTAAAGCGCTTCTACACATGGACGGAAATTGAACTACCTGGCCACCCGGTAGGCAAACTAGCAATGGGCTACAACCCTTTCAGCTTAGTTTCATGATACAGATTATTAAATACGTCAAACTATCTCAGTAAATTACAACAAACCTACTTCTTTTTTTAAAATAAATAAAGCATCGTAAAGAAATCATTCAACACAAAGTGACTAACGATCTCACTTTAATTGAAGCAAATACATGTGATGTTTTTTGTGGGCAAATTATGACTAACCTACTCACATTATATGAAATTCTAGATGAAATTGCTGAGTTTTACGAGCCGCCTACACGCATTCAATGAATCAGTTAGGTGTGATTAAAATGTGGAGGACTGCTTTGAGTAGCGTTAGCTAACTCTGATTCAGACTAGTCATAAAACTACACATGGATACACTAACGGATTATATTGACACGGGCAATCTGCAAAAGAATTACTTCAAATTAAAATTATGAACGGAACATACACACACAAAAAGATGTATGTGTATTAAGAAGTCTGTCCCAGTCATTTGGGAGGGAACATCGGCCAGTCAGAATCGAAGTCAATTTATAGAGAAGACGTGTTGTTATGCTAACATGGATAAAGTCACAACATGGCACTAGAACTATATGGCATTGGGTGAGGGGGCAGGTGAGACAGTAGCAGCTGTGTTAATCGATAGGTCAAAACTTTCATATCCACAAAACTTTCATATCCATAACACACATCATGGGGGAACAGTAACATATACAGTTATCAATATTATGTTTAAATACAAAGGACCTATATGCCTACAATGCAAGCTTTCGTGGTTGTCCGTTTCCACCAGCAGTGAGCTGCCACTCTCACAAAGACCAGAGCAGTATGTCGAACCAATACTTCAATGTTCAAGCTGCCAGAAGGCATGGCATTCCAGAACAACTTGTCTCAGCAAACAGGAGATTTGCAGGTATTGCTCGGAGCCTCGTGCCTACAGCGAGTGTCAAAAGGCCATGAGAGACAGCGTTTTCTGAAAGCGCAACACAAATAGAAAATGTGCAAACTGCTCCGAATCACATATCTGCGATGCCCATATCTACAACAATGCAGAGAGACAATAAAAACAACTATCAAAGAGAACTTACCCTTTGAAGAAGCCTCAAGAAGATATGAGGCACCCAGGAGCAACGCCTTGCTGGGCAAGTCTAGACTTCAAGATCAGATAGACCAGTTGAAGAATGATATCCAGAATCTCGGACATGAAAAAGCAGCTGCCGACTTACAAAACGCACCAATACGAAGAGAGATGGAGGAGACGAGAGATATATTGAAAAATACATTAGAAGTCTAAAGACAGGTAGCGACCGAGGCAACATCAATGCAAGAGTTCAAGGCAGAGATTGCGGCAATGCTCAGAGATATCCAACAAAAATGAGAAACTGCCCTAGTACAACAAGAACTAGTCGACATCAAGGTTGTAAGACCTCTCAAACCAGACAAGAAAACTAAAGAGATCAAACAACAAAGCCAAGACCGGGTGAGAGGAGCAAAGCAACTGTTCCCAAGAAAACTATGAAAGAACTGGTGAAGCGATCAAGACAGACTCTGAAAAGTGGCACGAAGAATAACGTTAATCCAGCGGAAGAATAAAAGAATCCACCTTGTACAGATAAAGTCTTACCAAGCCAACAGCAATATAACGGCAAGGAATTTTCAAATAGAGTCATGGATAAAGACAGCATACAGAGAACACTGCGAATGTCAGAGTGAAAACACAAAAATATGAGTTGAGTTGAGTCAAGAATTGCAATCAATTATCGTGCAAAAGAAATTAAAGATGATTTCCAGAGAATATACAAACTGCTAGTTACTTTATTTGACCTCACCAGAGCCTTTGGATAAAATTACTCGTGCTAAAACTAGCATACAGTGGAATTAAAGGGCATATGTTTGCCTGGAAGAGCAGAAGAGCGTGCTGGTCAGATTACAAGGGAGGTGTTATACCTTCTCCCATATTTATTCTTTTTTTATCAATGTCATCCCAAAACAGTTTATAACACAATCACAAACCCCTACATGCAGAAGGCCTGACCATATAGACCCAAGCTGAACATATAATAACAACTAAAACAAGAATGCAGCAAGCTATAAATACAGTTAAGAAATTGATTGACTCTTGGGGAATAACAATAAATCAGACTAGAACCATGTCGAATCTCTTCCCTCTTTCCACAAAGATAGAACAAGTAAATTTGACATCCTTCTAAATGAGGAAACCCCTACATATCTGGGAGTAAAATTTGACAAAAGACTGACCTGGGGCCCCCACATTGAAGACACGCAATGGAAAACTACCCTGAAGCTTAGACTTATGACGATACTCACTGGAACAAGCTAGAGTGCGGATGCCAACAATTTTAATGCATAAACAACAACCCTGTGCACAGGATAGCAAACATCTTTACTGAAAACCGACTGAAAAGACAAAGCTTTCACTATCTATCAAAACCGTACCAAGATTTATTTTTTTTTTAACAGTGGAGAGAGAACTGACCTGCCAGCTAAACAGATTCTCAGAAAACAATCAAATCGTTTTCCAGTGGATTCCGGCATACCAAGAAATGAGTTAGCAGACAGACATGCAAAAAAATGGAACAAAGGAGAAACAATGTACCCATTCATTGTCATTACCAGAAATCAAAACACTTATCAGGGAAAAAATACAAGGAATTGTGGAGAAAACAAACCAACAGTAATAATCCATAAAACCCCATTAGCAGACTCAACAGAAAGCAACATACAACAATTTTCTGTCTAAGAACAGGACACTGTAGAACAACATGCATAAACTAAAGAGCGCATTTTGCAGACCTGTCCACTCTACCTGCAATTTCGAAAAGACACCTGGCCTCAAGAGCAAAGTGTGCAGAGCAGGCTATGGGAAGCTATAAAGGACATGCTACTAACATTAGAATTCATAGAGACATCCCACCTAATGGTCTGATATAAACGTACGAAACCGAACGCAAAGAAGTAGAATTTCTACTAGTTCCAACTGCCGATAGATTTCGTATGTGCCATTTCTCCTTTATGACTTTTTTTTCATATTTGCTAAAACGAATCCACTACTCCGGGGTCAGGAGTGGAGACGTGGGGCGCAAAAATCAGTTTCAGCTTTGTTTTTCTTTTTTCTGCATAAGATCGGTTCTTAATTGATTGAAACTCTAAGTCCGGTGTATTGTCTTTCATGTCGAACCCTGACACTAAACTGATGACACTTTTGGAGATAATGTTCTCACATCACATGTATCACGTAAAATGGTCCTAGCACCTTATTGAAGAGAATTATGCGGGTGTGGAAAACGAGTATCGGAACATCACATCCGTGGACAGGGGTATGAGAATGTATGTAACAACACACCACATGGCCTACCTAGTATTGCATCGTGGCTGGTAATGTGTCGTTAAATGGTTATATGCATTTTATAGTCAACAGAACCCAGCTAAACCCAGAGAAAGATCTTAAAATAACCTATTACCCTTGAAGTCAAATCTCGCAACTATAGACCACCCTATTGATGTATTTTACATGATAACTACATGCGTAGAAAAAAATTATACATATTATGTTTCTTATGAAAAGGGCGCTGGCATCTTGTGATGTGGTTTTCAGATAGGCTGCACCCAAAATATCCGATGATTTTAGCAAATCCTTTGAGTCAAGGAGCATTGGGTTTATTCCTCCCCCCCCCCCCCCCCCTTTCTTTAACAAAATGGCACCACAGAATCCACGGTGAGAAATTAGATAATCCACAAGAAGAAATTAGATATGGCAACCTGAAAACAAAAATATTATGGACATGTCACTGGTATATTGGAAACGAATTGGGCATCAATGCCTCAGTCGCCTGGCTACTAGAGCGTCTAGTGTTGAATAAACAACGCCGTCTTTACCATGGGGATTGCATGTAGTGGCATTCAGCACTGCTTTTATGAATACTTCATGGTGAAGCTCCGCTTCCACGGTGTTACTGCCATACCATTGTCCGACAGCCAGCAAAGCAATCTTTATTGAAGCAGCCTGTCAAAGAAATATAACCCTAGCACAGTAAGTACGAAGGTTCTCAAACCTATAACACTTACAGCTACAGCTTAAGCTATCCCCCTTCGATTAACCTTACAGCAATATTTGAACAACTGGATATTGAACACGACTGGTACAACTTTCAGCTTGAACTCATTTGAAACAAAAACTGTTCCGACATTCGATTTTGTCTTCGATTCTGTCCAAATAGGAATATGTTGGATCCTGATCGGGTTTGTCTATTCTGGTTGTATTGGGGGGGGGGGGGAATGAGCGTATGTGTGTGTGTGTGTGATTGCCTACGTGTGTGTGTGTCTGTCTATCTGTCTGTCTGACTGACTGCTTGTAGTTTCATGTGTTCCAAATTCTTAAGTCTGGGACTATTTATTAAGTGTGAAATTTTTGGTTCTTTATATTTTGTTTATGTCTAGACGGGTATTTGATGTTTTTTTTTTTTTTTTGTCGGTGCATAATATAGGATGCAATTGTGGTGTTTTTATGTTCTGTTCTTTTTTATTTTCAGTTTTAATGTCTTCACTCACCCCTAAATGTTTAGTCATTTTCTTCATGCAG